CGCTTCGCGGCAGCCGCCGCGACTTTCTTCCTTGAACCTGGAGTATTCACATTTCTAAGCCTACAAAGGCCAGGGTGTAACAGATCCCTGCCCTTGCACCACGCCGCAGAGGCGTCGCGGCAGGCCACGGTCACTCAGCTGAAGCCCCGTTGCATTAAAACCAGAGTTTTAACGCCGACAAGCTGGTAAAAGATTTTAATACGTGCATTTCCCATATACACATGAATAAGTTTTACCCAGTGCACCCACACAGTTCAGATGTTCGTTCTCCAAATGACTTGGTCATTGTAAGCTGGTTTTCACAATTAGGTGTGTAATACTTAAATCTTTGTAGCTCAGAAGATGAGGTGGATGTCCTCTTACACGGCACTCCCGACCAGAAGCGGAAGCTGATACGGGAGTGCCTGACTGGCGAGAGCGAGTCTTCCAGTGACGATGAATTCCAAAAGGAGATGGAAGCGGAACTGAACACCACCATGAGGACTATGGAAGGCCAATGGAAATCACCAGAAATGGGTAAATCGCACTTAACACCTGCTTGCGTATGAAATCGTCATTAAGTGGTGTCCAGTTAAGGTGTGAAGTTAAGGTAGTATTCTGTGGCTAGAGGTATGTGTGGTGACAGTCGAGTGCTGTTTGAAGCCTACAGAAAATCTTACAATGGCCAATCGCTTCTGCAGAAATGGTCGCCAGGTGCCCCACTTCAGTGAACCCCTGTTTCATCTTTTCGAAGACTTGGATTTTGGTGTTTCTGAACTTGTCATTTCCTGCTTTAATATGATTTCTCTTTGTTGGCTCAGTCCCCTTTTTCCCAGTATCTCTATAACTTCTGGTTTAAGTTGTTCTTTCACATGTGTTTAGAAGTTTCTTGAGGAGGTTGCAGTGTCTTGTACTTTGTCTAGTGGCTCCGGCTGCTATCAGCATTTGGAGCCCTTTCTTGAAGAAAGGAGAAGCATGTGGTAGATTGAGATGCCAAATCAGTTTGGGGAAAAAGTCAGGAAAAATATTAAACTCCTTCTCCCTTACTTGCGCATAATTACACGTTACATCAAGTAGTAAAACTGTACTAAAGATATATGTGTTCTGGTGTTTGTGTGCTATGGGTGCAAGAGATGGATTGCTTTGGCATTTGAAGATCATCTGTTCTTTTTACCTATTACAAAACACCTAGTGAAGTGTTCTTAATTTCCTGGAGAATCAGCATAGTATTCACTTCAATGTAGGGACTTGACTCTGCATTGAGCCGGTTTAATAGTTTTATCTGTGTTAGTGGGCAGATCTGATCTGTAGGTTTTAGTTGTGCAATTGAGACAATGTGGCAATAGTTACACCACCACATCCATCCAGTGCAGAATAGGATTTTTGGTACGGACTGGCTGCGACAGATGTACTTGGCAATTCATCTATGTCTTTTTTGAACTTATGTGGCCCTGAAATTTTGGGGGATTTTTTCAGTGAATTTTATTGTAATCAAAGTTTGTAGAACAGTCTGCCACACCTGTATTTCTTTCGCATGACTGAAGATTTATGGAGTGTCTTGAGATTGTGTGGATTATATAGGGCAAAGGCATATTTGATGTGGTGTCCCGTGTGCACAGGGAGTGTAACTTTGGGGAAACTTCCCTTTCAACTGTACCTGAGGTTCATCTCCGAGGGAGTGAGCAGCTTTGCTCTGAGAGTGCATCTGTAAATGAAGTAACACAAGCGATGTGGATGATCAGGATGTGGGAATAAATTGGGAGAGCTGTTACTTAACAGACGCAGAGAAAGCGGAGCGGTTCTGGATAGAGTAACTTGAAAATGAAGGTTTGTTTTGGGCTGTATACTTGTTGTCCTTTTGGTGGGGTGTTCTTACCACTTCTCTCTCTAATTTCACACATAGGTACTTCCTCAAGTACTGGGCAGACTGGACCTGCCACCGCTTCGAAATACTATGATGACATTTACTTTGATTCTGACTCAGAGGATGAAGATAAGATAGGTAAATGGCTGCAGAGAGGAGAGAGGAGGACATCTTTACAGTGGCACTCTCTCAGATCCTGTAGAATCCTCTTGGGGGGGTCAAGCAGCTGTTCTGAAAGCGGCCTTTTGGGGGGAATTACCAGCCTATATCATCTCAATGTAGTTCCCGCAACTTTGTGATGTATCCCAATGTATGTAAGGTGCGTTAATGTTTTGGGGTGGTGCATTTGGAGGAGAGATGAGCTAGACCTTTATGTTTTAGTTTAGATTTATTGCAAGTATGGAAAAGGAAAACTGAAAAAATGATTATTTTGGTTATTTAAGCAGACCATCATCATATGTCTGATGGATGTAACATGCACTTGCACAAATCTTTCCAGTTACACAGGACGTCCGGAAAAACAGAAAGCATCAGCAACGTCAGATTCTTTCCAATGATGAACTGCTATATGACCCAGAAGAAGACAGTCGAGACCAAGAGTGGGTAGACTCACAGAGGAGGGGGTAAGAGACCATAAATATTTGAATTGTAGGATGCTTAACATAAAATGAAAAATTTAAATGAAAATAGTGAATAGGGAGAAAAAGCCTATGCTGTCAAGTCTATGTAATGAAAATGTAATTTTTTTTTAGAATTTACAGCATAGAAATTTAAAAGCCTGTAAAATTTTTATGAGTGTGTAATGGAAGTTGAGTCTTCAGAATGACACAATTCTAAAACTTGCAATTTTTTAAAATCAAAACTTCCTAGTTTGGTAAGTCAGTTTTGTCTGTAGATCTCATCTAAACAACCATATTGTGGATGAAAGGGTTGTAAGATTTGCTAATTTCAGTTTTTCATGCCCTATGATACTTGGATTGCTAAATTAATACCCGTTCCTGCTAAATATTGTATTTATGATTTTGGAAAACTCTGAATTTAGCAAGCCACAAAATGTTCAGATAAAATAGGAACAGCACAAAGCTGCTTTACTGAGAGTTTTTTGATGGATGAAGTAGAAAAATGGTTGCTGCAGCAGAAGTAAAATTCTCCATGTAAATCTATTTAAAAGGATAACATTAATGTATGTTGCCTGCGAGATTGCACTTGAGACAACTGCCTCATCAGAGGGGAGGGTCATTAGGCACAAATTCTCATGCTAGATGTATTTGTTTCACCAAATAAGAACCTTCTGTACAAAGTAAATTAAGATACTGGTATGTGTTTTTTCCCCCCAGGGTATTTATTTTGAATTAGTGAAAAAGGTGTACAGAAGGAGACAAATATTTATTGGTGTATTTTAATACAAAAAAAGTTTGGAGGTTGAATTGACATATCCGACAACAAGGGCACGTAATTTCACTTTTTGTCTCTCCTTCATCCTTTCTTGAATTGGTAGGTACCGTAATCAAAGAAGAGTGCCGCTGCAGCACCAGACAAAACCTTCAGCTGTTCCAAATAGTGATGCTGTTTTGAATTGCCCTGCTTGCATGACAACATTATGCCTGGACTGTCAGAGGTAATTGGTGAACAATAAGGGGTCTTTTTGGAACGTTTTTTGGTCAGTTGTATTTTTAGTGTATTCAATTTGATCAGTTGATTTTATCAAGTCTGCCTTGCGAGGTGGAGCTAATAAAAGAGAAGGTAGGTGTATGTGAATTTAGAGGTGAAAGCTAGTTTGCAGGAATGATGATTAGCTTAACCTGCAACATGGAGATGAGGAAGAACAGGGTAGCACTTTAGTGGAGAAGGCAAACTATAAAAAAAACATTTCATGGAGACTAAACAAGAAACTCAGAGTGAGTTGTGGGTGGTAAGTTTTTTTTTTAAAAAAAATATGTTGGCTTGATGTTTAGAGGCATAGAATTATTACAGGTTAACTATTATTTTTGTGTGAAAGTGCCTTGTTTAGGGGAGGATTAAGCAAAATCAAGATAGTGTATTCTTACTTGGTTTAAGTTTTAGCAGTTGTGATTTTGAGTATAGTTACATTAAAAAGTGCCTGGAAAGCATTTAGGTGAGAATTGTAGTGTGTTTTGCAGCTCTCCACTATCTGACTGCACTGGAAACCTAGTTAGTACTGCTAACTGGTGCTAAGGAGAGGGCTCTTGAACTGGGAATAAAGGAGAAAGAAATCTTGTGAAATGAGGAATAAACTACCTCTCATTTATTGAGTACTTTTGGTGATTGAGGATGAAATTGCACAGCAGCCTAAAATCATCTAAGTACTGGGTGCTGTTTCTCACTGTCTTTGCTGGCTGTGGTATTCCTTGACCCTGTTCTATAGTTAAGTATTTCAGTTTGCTAAGCTGACAGAAAATTGTCTGGTTTTATTGTCAGACTGGTCTTCTGTGGTTTGAATAAACCGAGATAGCTCAGCACAGAATTATACAAGCAGTAAAGCCAGCAGAAGTTGAGATGGGACTTGTGCAGCCACCTGTTATGTTGGTTTAGGCTGCTGTAAAACTGCAGCCTGAGGGACACTGTGTTGAATTGAATTGAACTGCAGCCCCGAATTTTGCTATGTGCTCCAGCTATACAGTTGTTACACTGATGACATCTGAAAATACATCTTTTATTATAGACATGCTTTTTCAAGTGTGATATATCAGTGTTTGTTGTTTATAAATAAGGAATTTCAGGCTTGCAAGACATTTTAGGATATAAATACCAGTATTTTAGTCATTTGCACTCGCAACTTCATGATCTTTTGGCTGTCATCAGCTATACGTAGCAATGCACAATTCTGTAGTATCAATACCATTATACTCTGGGGTGTTTATTTCGGCCAGAACCAGTGTGTTTTTAAAAGCACCTTAAAAACAAGACAGATGGCTACAATTTTTTTTTTTAATGATTTTTGTAGTTGTGACTTTTGTTGCTTTTATAAAACTTCATTATTTATTTGGCTTTCAGCCCTTTGGCATGGTACTTCCTATCTTTAATCCCATTTCCAGTGACAATAACCAATTTCTTGGAAGCAGAGTTTTACCAATGGTATGACTTGCATTTTCTCCCCTTCTCCATAGACATGAATCTTACAAAACACAATATAGAGCAATGTTTGTGATGAACTGCATTGTTAACAAAGAGGAAATTCTGAAATACAGAAAGAAGCTAAAGAAAAGAAGTAAGAAAATGAAGTACAGCAAAGAAAGTACCTCTGTACAATCAAATCAAGAAGAGGAGGAAGTGTATCATCCAGTATTATGTACTGAATGCTCAACTGAAGTGGCAGTAATGGATAAAGATGAAGTTTTTCACTTCTTCAATGTTCTAGCCAGCCACAGCTAATGTGCAGAAGCAGGGGGAAAAAAATCCTGCACTGTTTAAGACTGTGTGAAGTATCAGAAATGCAGGCATGGTAGCCTTTTTTAAGTATGGTCTTTTAAATGCACATTTGCATCAGAGAACTTTATAACAGTTGGATTTTTGCAAAGTTTTTGAAAGGAATACAGTGCATTTGAGAGCAGTATTCTTTCACACTGTCAGGTGGTTGCACCATTGAGGATTTAAAATTTTGTAAATATAATGTAAGATCTGTGTATTATGATCATTCCCTGTATATATACTGTCCATTATCTCAATATGTATTAGAACTGCTGCTTAGAATAAATACAGTGTAGTAACTGGTTCTCCATAGCTGCATTGGTCATTTCTATGGCATGTGGTAAACAGCTCTCAGTGGGGATGTTGCGCTTCTTTAGGCTGGTATTCTTGGTAAATTTACACACAGGTAGGTTTCATAAAGAAGGAATTATTATATTTGGATTTTTGGCCCATTAAGATCTCAAAAATGGAAATTTTTATTTATGCAGAGTGGAAGATTAGCTTATATTGAGTTTGCTGGCATGGATCATTCCGGCATGGATCGTTTAAATCAACGTATTAATGCTTAGTAATACAGTTTTTAATGTAACTACGTATATGAAGAAAGTAGTGGACTTTTTTTCTATTGTCCTTTTTCCTTATGATGACACTTTAAGAGGAGATTTATGGTCGGATCTATGACCATAGAGCTAGTTTGTATGCTTTTTCTGTTTCTTTAGTACATTTACAGCTTTTTTATGGAAGCATAAAGAGCTTCTGCTACTTGATATTTAGACTTCTTGCTTAGTCTATGAAGCCACTGCAATGTTAACAATGGATCCTTTTCTCTCTTCCTCCAGGCATGCTCCCAAGAGGTGAACTCTTGTTTTTTATTAGTAACGTCTCCTCTTTATAGCCTGATATTTTTTAACACTTCGCTTTGAACAAGGGTCTGTCTGAAATCCCATCTTTATGCTTTTTCTTTGAATAGTACTAGGAATAATTTGTTATATGTGCTTTGAGGAACTGTCAGAAATATTTAACTTAGGAGGTAGGAACCTGAAGAACATACTTCTTTTGTGCCTTAGATTATAATAAAATCTTGTGACTCTTTGGTTACCTTTTGTAGTCCCTGGTGCTGTGTTCAACTAGTCTACACACACTCATTCTACACAGTGTTATGCGAGATGAGGAAGAAAAAAATACATTGGTTCTTCTGTTAGGATTACATGAGGAGAAGACTGACTTCCTATTTTCAAGTCAGCAGAAACTTAACCTCTGCTTGATGAAGTAGACGACTGTTGAGGCAGCTGCTGACCACTGGGTTGGCTAGTACGCTACGCCTTCCTCTGCACGTGCAACCTGCCACCAAAATTGAGCCATACTTGTTTTGAGGCTTGGGATCTGCCTGAGGTGAGATCTCAATTCCGTCTTCGCTACCTACAGTCAGACTGATCAGTGGAGTGCCTGACTTGCATATTGATAGCTGTGGGATCATCTGAAGTGGGATAAATTGGTACTGTGTGCCATAAGGCAGGCGGTGCATATGGAAAACTTTGCACCTACGAAGAATTGTTTCTTCTTAGCACAAGTGTGGAGGAGCAGATGTGGTAGACGATATAGTCTGTGCTGTAGGGCACGCTGGCCTCGAGGTAGCTGTCCTCACATTCCAGGTGAGGCTGAGGGCTCTGTGTAGCGCCAGGTTAAGGGTCTTTGCACTGAGCTACTGGAAACATGAGCATGCAGGAATGTAGTTCAAGGGCTCAAGTGTCGATGCGGGTGGCAGGAGGAACAAGAGGTGATGGCAGTCCCTAATCAGGAGTAGAATGGAGCTGGCAGAGGAGGGGGAACTCTATACAGAGGGATATTGTCAGTTTTCTTAAGGGGCTAACTAGCAAAAAAACTGTCTCATGAGTATACACCATACTGAAGGTGTAAGGGGCCTGGGCACCACCTGGTGAGTTAGGGCAGATGTAGCAGGAGATTTTGAAGCTGGCATGTCTCAACATTACCGTTCCTCTCATCTTGGGTACTTCCTTGCCGCTGCTTCTCACTATCACTTGAATTGCAGAGCTGCTGCTTAGGAAGCGTTGGAGCAGGCAGGACTGGGACTCGTTTGCCCCATACTGATAATGTTCTTGCAGCTTTGAATGGGAGTAATGCTTTAGTTGGCGCTGAATACCCCACTTGTCCTTGAACTTTGTACATGTTGATACAGAAAGGAAGCTTTCACGATTACCACCACTTTTTCAAGCAACAACACCGATACAAGATGACTCCAGCAGCAATTGCAACAAGCAACAGTGGTCTTGGATAGAGACAACAGCTCCTGTAGCCAGTTATGTGGGGGTATTAATCATGTGAATGCTCTCATTTCTTCTTCTTGTGCTGAAATAAATCTGCATAGATAAAGTGCATCTAAACATCTTCTGGTTTAATTAAATCCCTCTTCAGATTCTGTCACACAAGCTAGTACCGTATTCAGTTTTCTCTGTCAGCTGGTTTTCTTTTCCGCAGTTCTCTCCTGCTGCTGTAGTCGTGTTTTGCCGCTGTGTAAATAACTTGTATGTGCATCCTCCTGTGACTGTATTTCCGTGTTCTTCATCGTACTAATAGCAGAGGTGAAGGTAGGGGCGGGGTGGTTGCAAGAACAGAATCACACTGCTCAGTGACATAATTGCAAATTGATTTACCAAGCAGGCTTGAGACCAGTTTCTCATCTATGGTGTGCATGTGCTCGGCGTGTGAGGTCCTGGCTGGTGGCCTGGCCCTGGTGCCGTGGTTGCACCTCATGCTCCGCTTAGTCATGGTGCCCGATTGCCTCCTACGTCCCCTTCCAGCACTTTCAACTAGTGCCTTCTCAACCAGACTGCCACTGCCAGTGCGCTTTCTAATCGTGCAGTCCCAAGCCAATCTCTGGGAATTTCTCCTTTTCTAAGGCCAATTAGCACTCAGGGCAGGGGTGTCCCACACCCTCTGGTGTGTGGCCCCATGTGCCTTAGGGAAGTGCAAAGTTAGGAACAGTTTCAGTAAACGGTTGCTCTATTGCCTCTTTATTTTTCCCATTCATACGCCATTAATCTAGTCCGAGTTGGCCGATGTTCAGGTCTCGTTTATCTGAGCCGTGTTTCTGGGTGGGCTTCACCCTCTGACAACTGAAGACGCTTTAGGCTCCTGCAGAGCATTTTTACTGTACTTCCCGTGGGCCCTGCCGAGAACAGCCTTCGGGTCTTCCGTAATTCCCAGAACATCAATTTCGATTAAACAGGATGACAGAAAATAGGCTGCCATCTCCTCGGTGTGACTCAGACCGGCAGTCTACTCCGAGTTCACGGTCAGCCATGTCACTGATGGGAGGCAGGCGGGCAGGCGCTGCTGGATTTCA